AATTTAGATGTGCACATGGTTTTGGTATATGGAACAGATGTGCAGTAATCTGCAGGCACTAAAGCTACATGCCACTGCATTAAAATTATTACATATTTGGGCTTTGCCTAAATAGATGATGTGACAGCCGAGCTTATCTTTTTGACTGCGCTGGTCCATCTTGCTAGCTCCTCCTGAGATATCAGAATAAGAGGGTTCAGCCTCTGAGGGGCACAGGTTGGTGGTATGAGAGGTGGAAGAGCAGACTGCACAAGACGGAGGTACCAAGCCCGCAAAATGCCTGCAAAAGAGTTCCGTGTCCAAGAAACTGCAGTCAGTGCGGATGTTAAACTGAGCCAAGGTTGCGGCTGCTTCTGCTGACACGGACTTGTGGAAATCATAAAACATGAAACCCCCGTACTTGTGGCCTACGTCTACCACCTTATGTAGATATAAGTCTAATTCCTCCCGGCGCTGTGGATAAACCGAGCATACAACATCCCTGTAGATAATGAAGGCTAGGACAAACTCTGGTATGGTAAGTTTTTTATTGAGTCTTGGGTCTCTAGCCTTCATAACGACGGCCAAATCTCCGTAATTGTACACTCTGTTTTCCACAACGTCTTGGGAGGCAATTAGCAAAGAAACCAGATTTACATCTTTCCCGTCTGAAATGTCCTTACAGAGGACCATGTGTGCTGAGGTTATAACTTGTGTGGAGAATGGCGAGGCTGGGGGCCTACCCTGTAAGTTGTCAGAAGTGAGTGCTTGTACTGATCCTACAGGAGGAGGGCCCGTGACAGCTGAGTTAGCGTTTTCCAACTTGGTCAGCCTATCATTGATAGACTGTAGACACGACAGGATGGTGTTTAGTGTCCCTTGTATGTCTGAGCTATGCCCCTGTGAGCTGGTACCCAGCCCAGGATCCTCTGAGGAGCTTAAAAAGTTCAGCTTTCCTTGCCATTGGCGCAATTCAGACGATATCTTGGGGATTGTCCAGGATCTTAAAGAGCCTGGCGTGGATGGTTCTTGGAGTTCCCTGGGGGTACCAACTCTAACAGGGGTGTTAGACCTAGTGGGTGTGCTAGGGCGAGATGACTCTTCGCGTGTGTTGACTACTTGCCACAAAAAAAAACAACACAGCAACAATAACCTGGTTAATAAGATATTGTTGAGCATAAATAGAACTGGCTGGCTAACTAGTGCCGAAGCGAAAAAGCTCTCTACCCCATGACAGGTGAGGCCCTGCTAGTTGCCAAGAGGCAGGTGAGAGGCTCTGTCTATGGTTTGGGCATGGGGCTCGAGCCACTAGCCTGGTGGCGGGGTGTTGGCATCTCGGTGGTGGTAAAAGATTCAATACGTGTGGCCGTGACATGTGAGGCCCTGAATATAATTCCAATAGATGAGTGAATGCAAGGCTCTAACTATGATTTGGGCCGAGGGGTGAAATCTATGTGTTGAGATTGGGGAGTTGGACCAGCTATTGTTCAACTAAGGCCAGCGCCTAACCCTATACAGCCAGTTCTCTGACCCTGTACGGGTGATAAATGGGGTAATGCAACGTACTCAGCGAAACCCAAGCGAGGTTTCAGTGAGGAAATTCTGTAAGAGACCTATGACACAAGAAGGAGGGAGAAGAAGAAGGGGAGGGGGTAATAGTATGATAAAGAGGGTAGGAGAACAGAAGAAAATTAATTAATATATATATTTTTTTGACAATGCAGAAAGAATATCACAATAGGCCCTGAGTGTTTTGAAGGGACCAAAGAAAGTTACTTAATTCCCCTATAAGGAGATCCTTGAAACTATGGTGCTTAAGCGTGGTCTTGATAGTGAAAGAGAGAAAAAAAAAATAGTGAAAGAATGAAAAGATGTTGAAGGAGTTTAGGACGTCTATTGTCAGATAACGTATAACGAGTAGTCGAGTGAAGCCGTGGCCTGACGAGGCAAGGCAAGAAATCAAGCCCCATATGTTAATAACCCCTTCCGGTGTTTGGTGGACTTGTATAGGCAGTAAATAGCGACATGACTTAAGATTGTTTAGTACCTGATAAACGCGAATATTAGTGGAGCTATAACCGGGTTGTAGGAAATACTCTTGCGAAACCTGAAATTGAGGTAGCACATAACAGGAGAAAAAGAGCTTGAGTGAGGCTTAATACAAGTTCAAGTCCTGCCCCTATTCAACCAACGAGAGACCTGGAATTCCGATACCTCAAGTAGTTCTGCCTCCTACCGGAGTTATGCTTGATATTTAACGACCAATATATAATGAAATGGAAGACATAAAACAATTCCCTGCATGCACCAATTATAATATACCTAGTTCACATAACCCCTGAAACTAAACCAATTGCTTAATGTAAAACTAATAACATTATTCCCTTATGACACAATTCGAACTTCTCGCTGTGATCCAAATTTGTTAGCATTGGTATAGGAAATATTTTTTGATGAACAGGTATTTCGGTGAAATGTTGTATTTGACCATTAATGAGATAAATGTTGACAGCTCATCTTGCTGAGCCATATGAAGCAAACCGTAGGTTAGACACCTTGTTTCTACAATATAATTTTGTTTCTACAAATGTAGAAACAAAGTCCTGGACTGAAACATCTGTTTAAAGTCTGCGTTCATGGCATCTCATAATGACAGTGAGAGACTCCTTAATTAAAATATAACCACAAATAAACCTGACTTATGATGTTTAATAGCATGTTTGCCAAAATCATACTGCTATTACAAAGCAGTTGGTATTACAGATTTTTTTTCTTCAAATGTTAGCAGTGAAAGGATTTGCAATATTTCTGTTAGTATTTTTTTTTTTCAATCACATAAAATATATATATATATTTCCTGAAGGCTGATTCCTTGCCACAAATTGTAACATAATTAAAATGAATATTTCAATGAAATAGTTTGCCGAACGGCGGAATAGCCAAATTGAAATGAAATAAAACAAATAAATACAATGAAAATAGTTTACTGAAATGTTGTGCGTTCGCATGATTGTAAAAAATGTAAGTGGTGAATAAGAAATGTCGAACAGCGGGAATAGCCTGAACGCGGTTATTCCTGCCGATTACCTGTTGTTCGGTAGCTTAGATTTTTACGATGGTGCTGCTTGGCGGGGAGGCAGCAAAAGAATGACGGGACCGGAAGCGTGCTGTCAGGAACCGGATTTCCGGTTAGATGAGGGGAGGAACAGTGTACGTCATGGCAGAGGTAAGGAGGGGGAGTAGCGTTTTATAGGAACACTAACTCCTCCCACAAATATAGGCCTACGGACTTACACTTCTTATTATTTATAAAGCTCTGTTCAATGGGTGGACTAACAGACATGTATTTGTAACCAGACGAGTTGGACACACAGTGAGTGCCCTGCTCAGTGAGTTTACATGTTAGAGGGAGTGGGGTATAATGACAGTAACAGAGGAATTGAGGGCCCTGCTCAGTGAGTTTACATGCTAGAGGGAGTGGGGTATAGTGACACAGTAACAGAGGGATTGAGGGTCCTGCTCAGTGAGTTTACATGTTAGAGGGAGTGGGGTATAGTGACACAGTAACAGAGGGATTGAGGGTCCTGCTCAGTGAGTTTACATGTTAGAGGGAGTGGGGTATAGTGACACAGTAACAGAGGGATTGAGGGCCTGCTCAGTGAGTTTACATGTTAGAGGGAGTGGGGTATAGTGACACAGTAACAGAGGGATTGAGGGCCCTGCTCAGTGAGTTTACATGTTAGAGGGAGTGGGGTATAGTGACACAGTAACAGAGGGATTGAGGGCCTGCTCAGTGAGTTTACATGTTAGAGGGAGTGGGGTATAGTGACACAGTAACAGAGGGATTGAGGGCCTGCTCAGTGAGTTTACATGTTAGAGGGAGTGGGGAATAGTGACACAGTAACAGAGGGATTGAGGGCCCTGCTCAGTGAGTTTACATGTTAGAGGGAGTGGGGTATAGTGACACAGTAACAGAGGGATTGAGAGCCCTGCTCAGTGAGTTTACATGTTAGAGGGAGTGGGGTATAGTGACACAGTAACAGAGGGATTGAGGGCCTGCTCAGTGAGTTTACATGTTAGAGGGAGTGGGGTATAGTGACACAGTAACAGAGGGATTGAGGGCCCTGCTCAGTGAGTTTACATGTTAGAGGGAGTGGGGTATAGTGACAGTAACAGAGGGATTGAGGGCCTGCTCAGTGAGTTTACATGTTAGAGGGAGTGGGGTATAGTGACAGTAACAGAGGGATTGAGGGCCTGCTCAGTGAGTTTACATGTTAGTTAGAGGGTGGGGTATAGTGACACAGTAACAGAGGGATTGAGGGCCCTGCTCAGTGAGT